TTTTGAAGGAGTTATTTGACATCTGCCCTTGAGACCCTGTAAGGACCCCTCTTCTTCTGTGTTGAAAAACTGTGGGTTCTATCTTTATATAAACGCTAGATCTAGTTGACACAGACACGAGGATATCTGCTGAAGCTTAACTCTTTTGTCGTAAGTACCATCATCAAACCAGTCATCAAACAAAGAAAAGAGTATTAGGTGTTGCTCTATTCATGAGAACTTATTTAATCTACATCCAGAAAATGCTTTTTACAGCTATAAGCCCTGGTAGGTGTGTTGCTATGGGTTTCAAGTATTCTTAAACACCATCATTATAAAAGATAATGTGTGCTTCTTACTTGAATCCCATGTACACAAATATATATGAAGTGTGGAGGGATCACAACAACACATCATAAGAGGCCCTAAGCTGTGATGGAAATACAGAATTTCAAGGCTACGATTAGGATTGGATGGAAGTGTAACCTACCATGAAGATATAAAGTGCCAGTAGCATTGTCAGACCCTAACATGATGTCTTGACAGTTACATATTCTTATCAACAGCTCACACTCCAAAAATATTTAATTTGCAGCTTTATAAAATGGAAAACAAACAAAAAGAAAAATCCTCATGTTTCATGTAATTTGACCAAAACACTCACCGGGCATATCAATAGTTATGGCTTTGCTTACAGCAGTGCTATAAGTCTTCATAGCATCGATTCAACAAGATGCTGGAAACATTCCTTAGAGATTCTGGTCCATACTGAGGTTACAGCAACATCCATGATGCTAATCTCCTGTTCAATCATAACCCCAAGATGCTCTATTAGACTGAGATCAGTTGACAGTGGAGGTCATTTGAGTACACCGATTTCATTGTTGTGCTCAAGAAACCAGTTTGCCATGATTTGTGTGTGAATATGGTGTATATGTTTATATATGCAACTGCAAAGTAACTCAGAGAACAACACTACTTTAATTAAGAGAAACTTTATATAAGTATTAAACATCAGATGGTGTTTCTCCGTGAAATAACTCCAACATTTCAAAGAACTCTAGCTGATTACAGTATCAAATCATCTGTTGGTGTGTGGGAAGTTTTGATTTAAAAAAGGCATTATGTGAAGATGTTGCAGGATAATAAAGAAACATGGTGCTCTGAGGTCTTAGTTTGTATCAGATCAAAAGTGAAAAACCTGTGATAACTTTCAGATAATAAAGAGATTCTAGTTATTAGAGATGAGAGAGAACAAAGGGGCTGGGTTGAAAAGAAAGGAAGGGGGTAGATGAAGGAAATGTTTGTGCACAGAGAGAATCAGATAGTAAGATCGAGTGTCTGAGATGGAGGAGAATAAGGTTGAGGGTGGAAAATCAACAGCAGACGAACGGGAAGAGAAATAAAAAGTAACAAAAAGGATGAGGAAGCCTTATGGAAAGATGAGCTCAAAGACTCCTTGCAGTCATGGGAACAACTGTGTGTACTGTTCATGTGTTTGTAATTTAACAAGTGTTTGTGAAGTCTGTTGCTGTTTGAAATAGATGCAGTTGAACTAAAGTCAACTAAATAATGATATTATCAGGTAAAAAAAAAACAAAAAGAGGAATGAACAAAGTAGAAAAAGAGAATATATACACAGTGTCACCGGACCGAGTGGTGTGAACCGAAACTGGACTCAGGCGCAGAAACCCAGAACAGAGACAGCATTTAACAATATTTTATTGGTTAGGCTTAGACTTTGGAAATGTGGCAAGGACAAAAGCAATGAAACGTAGAGCTTGGTGTGGCATGTCCTGGGTAACGCAGAACTAGAGAGAGGGAACGGGGCCTGAGATGCAGACTGGAACTGGGCAGTAAGCAGTCACATTACAGGAGGAGAAACAGAGCGATGACAGGAGTGCGACAGGGATCCAGGGTGAGCTGAGTGGTGTGGAGAGGCTGACCTGAGATCCGGAGGTTCCAGATGGAGTGTGATGGCAGCAGGGCGAGGCACACAGAGTGATTTCCAGAATGGTGGCTTGGTATCCTGAGTCCGAGAGTAGAGAGTGAGCCAAGGTGAATCCAGAAACTGCAGCACAAGAAAGTTTGGCTAACAAGGTAAATCACAGAGAGAGCTTGAAACATGAGGCCCGGCTACCAACATGGGTTGATGACAAACTGGCAGTGAATGAACGTTAGCGTGATGCTTAAATCACTCTGACTTGATTGCCTGCGATTGGCTCCAGGTGTGCAGGAACTGGAGGCGGTGGCCCTGCCCAGGGGCAGATCCCAGGTATGTTCAAGAGCCTCACGGAAATCTCAGCCACCCACCGCGGACCATGACACACAGCTACATTTATGAAAGGTTATACACACATGTCATGTAACCAGTGGCGGTCCTAGCCTTTTTGGCACCCCGGGCGAACACTCCAGTATGAACACAAATCCACCAACTCGAGGATCACCAAAACATAACCTAATAGACCTACACCCTAGTTCACAGATTCACTTTGTCTAAGATGTATTTCTGGGATTTCACACAACCCAGGATTCAGATCAGGAATACATAATGGGCTTGGATTTACAATATTATGAATGAAATGTGCTCTATTTGGGCTCTCGTGTTCACTTTTCGCGTATAGAATTTCGAAAAAACATTGGTGCAAATTATAAGTCTGTATCATAATGTCTGGTGTTTTCATGTTTGTTGTTTTGTTTTTATTTTGTTTTATTTTGCGAGTTGGTTATTAGATGCCGCTCCAGCCAGCCAGAGAATCCCCTGCCGCCACGCCCCCTCCTTCCTGTGCTGCAAGCAGCAGGCGCACCTCGCAAACGGAGGGTGCCCTTACTCCCAGCAAATGGGCGATAGAAAACCGATCAGTGCCTGTACCATTCCCAATATGCGCTGGCTGATGTCAGGGCAGTATGAGTACGAGCAATTTTTTATTTTTTTTGCCGATGCCCGTGATGCTGCCCCCCACCACGATGCCACCCCGGGCAACCGCCCGTATCAAAAACCGCTACTGCATGTAACATTTTGAGGGTATTAGAGTTGGATGTCTCAAGACCGGTCTTGGTCTCCAGACCACTTTTACGTGGTCTTGTCTTAGTCTCGACGGACTTTGATCTTGGTCTTGTCTTGGTCTCGCTGTCTCAGTCTTGCTGTCTCAGATCGACATAGTGGTCGGGAGATTTGGAGTCAACAGTATCCATGACACACAACGTAACATTCGATAATGTGTCATGCACAAAAGCATCAGCTCTAAGAGCCGTGCTTAGAGAGTGCTTTGTAGTGAATCAGAAGAGGCGACTCCCATTGAGCGAGAGCCGGCTCCTCACTTAATTTCCTTATGCTGCTCAGCTCTCACACAGTGGCTCAGCTATGCTCCAATCCCTCCATATTGTGGTCAATCACATGCGAGGATATAGGATAATATCATTATGTGAAAAACAGAGAGGGTGAGAGACGCGACAGTCAAGTGGAGCGTGCGTCTGTCCTCTCAGGAAGTGAGTGAGACAGTAGACAGCGGTGAGGAGGGCTGTACGAGTGCATCGCAAAAACACATAAATATGCCTGACACCTGTAAACGAAGCAGCATCTAGCTGCAGTTTAAAGACTTTTTTGTCTCGGTCTCGTCTCGACTTTGTCTTGGTCTTGACTCGGTCTCGATACCCTCTGGTCTTGGTATTGTCTTGGTCTTGGATTAGGCGGTCTTAACTACAAGTCTAGAAGGTATGTTGCTGTAACGCTATAACATTACTTTATTTGTATTCAGTTCAATTTATATAGCGCCAAATTACAACAGTAGTCACCTTGAGGTTCTTTATTTTGTAAGGTAACAACCCTACAATAACACAGAGAAAACCCCAACAATCAAGCTACCCTCTTTGAACAAGCGCTTAGTGACAGTGAGAAGGCTAAACTCCCTTTAAACTGATGGAAACCTTCAGAGACCATCTGCAGTGACTGGTTGGGGGTAACGGGAGGGAGAGAGGACAAAGCACAGGTTAAAATACACAACACAAAACATAGCGGGGTTGATGAATTCACTTACTATTACTAGTTTTTAGAATGTCTTTAGCATTTTACTCTTACGCTTTCTTAAACATGATGATTTTATGTACACAGGTTGACTTTTAATCAGAGCAGAGCAGTTGTTACGTTTAGACAGTGAGTCATACAACACTAGACCAGGATTCCCACATTAAGGTCTCCCACTTTGTTGCACTATGGGCCTTTAGGTGCAGCTACTGAGCAGTTATGGTCGCGGCTGTTACCAGGCAACATTGAAAGTAAACTTTTTTTATTGGCAGCAGCAAGTTGCAACTCTCAGCTAAGACTAATCCCACTAGCCCGCACACCACAGGCTGCCGTTATCTGCCAACTAAGTTACAACCCCGTCACATAGCTAAAAAGAGCAGACTGCATATTCTTCTCACTGGTATCATAAAGGTCTTTTTATTCACCCCAGGCTTGATAATCACTTTAAAGCTGATGTTGCTTATTTCATTGCTGTTTCAATTCACCACTACATACTTTATGTAATTCGGTGGACTTGCAGTAAAACCAGCTGCTGCCTCATTTGCCGTCTGTAGATTCTGAGGTTGAGACAGTAAAAAAGACTGTATGCATTTATGAACCAAGCTGCTGCCCTCCCACTCCTTACCACTGCCGCTGTTTACTATGGCCAAAGCAAAATGATGAGAATATTTCATTTACTTCCCATAAGCTTTTGTGGATTCATTAGCTGTAGCTAATCTTATGAAAACTGCAATCTAATCTTTATAGTGAGGTTAATACATCACTACTAAAGATTTGACAGATGTTGACATTTCTTAATGTTCTTATTTCTTTCTTGATTGCATTAATCATACTTTATTAGTTAGTCAGTTCCTTGTTGAAAATAAATTTTCTCGTTATTGTTTATAGATGTGTAGGCAAAACAGCAAGGAGAGTAACAAGGAAAGTGTGTAGTCAAAGAAAGATGCAATTTTCTTAAAATGAATGGAAGAACTGAACTGAGTTGAGACAAATCCTCTCGCCTTATAACATAACATCTCTTTATTTTATTTTTTATTTGCTTCATACAGACAGGAACTGCTGCTGCAAATCTACAGTAATATACAAGAGGTGCACTGCCATCGTCTCTGGGTGTTTTGGGGCCATCAGCTGTGATGTGGCCAGAAAGTACAGCTTGTTCCTTTTTGTCCACACAAACTCTTTTCTTTAATTACTGACTTCATGAATACAACCTTTACCTCGAATCTCTTTAGCCGTTTGTCAACTTCCACTGTAGACATACTTGATTTTTTTTTTTTTAAAACACAGTCTTGTCGTTTAAACCATGCAACAAATACGTACACGTGGTCAGCTTGAATGTGTCCAAGTCTTTGTTGCATGTGTCTACATGCATTCATATTTATGTGTATTGTCACAGATGGCAGCTATGCACAGTTGCTCACTGTAACCAACCACATGTACAGAAGCTTTTTTTTCCCATAGAAATTTGCATTTAAAGGTCTTGCAAATACCTCAGTGTTTTATCACTTTTATGTCCAGTGCATGTGTGAATTTTCCTTTATAGCCTCATAAACAGTCATTCAGGACACACACACAGCTCTCCAGCCTCTACTGTGATTTGGCATGTCCTTGTGTGTTCACAACCTCTCAATGTCCCTGTACTTCTTCCTCAGGATGGAAACCTGGTCTCTGAACAACACTGGGTCCAACCTCATCTGGGAGTGCACTAAGGGCATGAAACCTAGCCAGTGGCTAAAGGCGTTCATGCAACTCTGTCGCTGGGCGAAATGGTCCGGGTCAGCCCAACGAGATGACACCTTGGAGCCCTTCATGTGGGAAAACAGAGAGAGAGTGAGAGAATAGGACTGTATTAGCATAATACAATCAGCAAAAAGAAAACACATTTTTAAACTTTTATTTAAGGTGCACATTGACTCGGGCCAACAGGTTTAGAGACAAAGTGTATGAGTGGGTCGACTTTCACTGGGATTTCAATGATATATTAGTGCAGGGAATCTCTGTAGAGATGGCCAGATGGCATAGAGGGAGTTGGTGGAACAGCTGGAAAAGGTGAAACATTTTGTTGGAAACTTTGGAAAAAAAACTTGTTAGCAAAAAGTTAGTAGACACCTATTATTTCACAGACAACCTAGCCAGCATCTATGTGTCTGTCTCTTTTTCAATTTTCAGAAAGTATTTCTTTCAATTATCTTTCTGGAAACATTGAAGCATATTCATATTGTTTAACATCCGCAGACAAATCAGTATCCTTCACACCACTTGTTAGACAAGTCGAAACCTTTGTCATTATAGCAAATATGGAATTGGCTTGTTAGGCTCTGAAGTATTTTTCCATCTTTTAAACTGTAATCAATGCTCTATAATGTAGAAACCTTCACTTTTGTCTTTCCAGCTGTGCAGGCCTGTCTATACTATCCAAGCCCCATTGACTTGCCTACAAATTTCCCTCTTTCATCAAGCTGTGACATTTGTGACTTGTGGCAAGCTTTTGTCCTTATTGAGCCATAGATAAGAGCCACATGATGTATTGTTCAGAAAGGCTCTGTTCCGAAGTTGGATTTTTAAACTTTCATCACTGCAACAAATCCGTCAAATGGATTTTAATTTGGGTTTTCTTTCCTAGATGTTCTATTTTCATTTTAGGTCTCTAAAATCTATGATTGTTTCTGTGGTAGTAGTTACACAGGTAGTGTGTGATAGTTTGTGAGTGTGTGTGTAGGAGGGTGAGAGTGGCTTGAATTTAAAAGTAATACATGTATCGTGTCATTATTGAACTCCAAATAAAAAAAAGATTTGCATAACTTGATGTTTCACTGATTAAAGGTGGGTTACTTTACATTTCAGTGGGAGCTATGTTGTGAAACTCATCCAAATGAATTCTTCAGTCAGTTTTGTCCCTCCGTAACTGAACAGATCACTTGCATGAGACCAAAGGTTTCTCCACCTAAAAACACTATATCTAGATGAACAAAATTAACGTCCTGAGGCTTCCCCTTCATTTCTGCTGATATCTTTCTGTCCTGACGCTCGTTTCCACCCACTCCTACCTGCCTACACTTTCTTCTTCACCTCTCATTTGCACTATTCGTTGCTTTGAATGGCTGACCCCAGCGGTTCATCCACCTTCACTAAATCTACTCCTTAGATATTTACTTTTACGTTTGTGTTGCGTCTTGCTTTTCCTGACTTTCATTCCTCTTCTATCCAGAGCATACCTCCAACTCTCCAGGCTCTGCCCATGTACTCACTGCTCACACAAAAGATTGCAATGTCGTCTGCAAACATCATATTTAATGGAGACCTCTGCATGACCTCATCTGTCAACCTGTTAATCACCAATACATAAAAAAGCGGTTCAGTGCAGATCCCTGATGTAATCTCCACCCCACCAGCAGGAAGTGTGGCAATTTACTGCTGATCAGTCACACAGTGCATTACTTAACAAACAGTTAATGCAGAAAAAGGTGAACAAACAGTCATTTTAGATTGTTTGACCTGGGTGAGACAGAGTGCAGTCTGTTCAGCAGAAATCTGACCTACAAATAATTTTTTATAGCCACAGTGAGAATTTTAAACTAGGACCTAAATGTGACAGGAAGCTAGTGAAGGGACATTAGTAGTGAGGTGATAAGGGAGCATCTGTTTGACCAAGTAAATAGCCTAACAGTAGAATTTTGAAATGCCAGCAAACAATGTGTACTTGCAGACAACAAGCTGTCAGCATCCCGGTTACTGCTATAGATGAACCCGAGAAAGTGCAGTTGTAGGGTCAGTAGAGCCCTTTGAGAGAGGGTTGTAAAAGCTGGAGGAAACTTATCTTCAGATAGAAAAAATTGAACTGCTAAAGAATATCCAGTGACAGAAATGATCTGGGCCTAAAATACAATATGACTTGTACAATAAAACAGCTTAAAAATGTTAATTCATTTAACATTCTGGTCCAGGTATCCCACAAGATGTCAGCTCTTTCCTCTTACGCCATGTTAAATGTCTATCTGCTGTTGCTTGAAGCGAAGTCACAAATCATGGGTGAGATTGAGGAGGTGGGGGTGCACACAGGAAAAAAAGAAAGAATGAGAGAGCGAGTGAGGAAAGGAGGGGTAAAGGGGGGGAGTAAATCTAGGTTTGTCGTGCTGCTTTCACAATTAAGACATTAATCACTACGTCCATACTGCTGAGTCATCGTCCTGCCTGTGGTCAGACCATCAATCAGAACCTGACAAAGGGCTGGCCCCATGAACACACACACTCACACAAACACATGCACATACAGGGATCTCCCAAAGAGAAGGTCAGGGCTGTATGTGGCCTGAAACTTTTCTACCATTTCTCTTTTAATACTCTTATTATCTTCTTCTTTCCTTAAAAAGAGGTCTCTAAACACACAGCACTTTTATCATCTTTAAACTGTGTTGCTACTGTACAAAATGTTTTGATGGACCAACGATGTCATGAGCAATGAATTAAAAGAAGCCTCCATTTGGTTTTTCTCATGCCCTGCTTGCACATTAATGCTGTCTCTAATACTTTTCCACCGATCAGCAGGTGGTGGCAATAATGTCCACGGAAAAGATGAAATAAGACTACCAGCTGGCACACAGTGCACAGAGCTAAACTACTCCAAACAGAAGCATTTGCAAATGTTTTATGGGGAATGAATTACATTTTGGACTTTGTTAACAAACACTGAAATTATCCCAAAAGGGGACTTTAACAGGGGGAAGCTTGGAAGGCACTTTAGCTTTGGATAACTGCAAATTCATTGAATGTAACCATGAAAACTTAAACAAGTATGTAAGGCACAAGTGACTAATTATACAATGTCTACAAAGAAATGATGGGTAGTTGGACTATATATAACTATTTTTTTTAAATCAGGTTGTGGGATGACTGGGTTTCTTTCTTAGCTCTTGAACACCAGCCCTCCTTCCAGCATTTTTTAACCTTGGACAAAGTTTTCTTCCCTTTTTATTGTCCAAATAACATTTGTAAGTGATTCATTCCATGTTGAAATGGAATGTGATAAAGCACTACTCAAATTCCCTTGCACATTTTTTCACCTCAAAGTTATTTTTTCTACTGAAAGGCTCAGATGGCTGTTGAGGGACTGGAGACTAGTCTATGAGTGGTTGCTGGAGGTTGCATGCTGTTGCTGGTTGACATAAGTCACAAAGAGGGTGCTGCACCAAAAGGTCCTTGTGGTTACTCTGGTTGTTAGTAGATTACTATGGTTGACTGTAGTTTACATAGGATACACCGACTTGTCTGCAAACACCTGTAAAAATGTTCCAGGTACCTCAGACCTCGTGTGTCGGAAAAAGTGAGGAAAACCAGGATTTGTTTTGTTTCTTTCTTCTTGGGCTTTCTGAGTAGAAAAGAATGAGAATATGATCGCAAAGTCTGAACTGCATCTACCACAGAAATAACTGCATTATGCTGCTAAAACAACTTTAGCTCTTTGCTAGTATCTGAACAGACAGAATGCTAAAGCTAACCAAGGCAAGGACACCGAGTGATGTTAAAGCTGAGCGAATGCCGACCCCAGCCCAGCTACTAGACCTTGAACTTCAGCAGGTAACAAATGGATGCGCAGTCAGGCTGCTGGTTTTCATGAATTTCATTCATTCATTCATTTCATTTTCTTTATTTTGTGTTGTCAGCTTTGTGTTCATACCTAAACACTAAGAGAAAGAAAATATGTTTCTCCTCAATAGGATAAGGATTTGTGTTGGTGTGTTGATATTGTTAAATCTCAGAT